AACCCCCATTTTCTATCTACTCTCACCTTTGAGTTTACTACATTCTTTTGGGCTAACCAGCAACTGAGCTGTACAGTTGCTGAACACTGGTACCTTGATTAGAGTTCAAATCTTGGCAAATGGGGTGGCTGCATGGGTATTGTCATGGTTTTTCCTAAGTGTAATATGGGTATGAGCCAATATTCTCCATAAAATACTCCCTGGAGGAATTCCTTCCTTTAGGCAGATAGCATTGGCACAATGAAAACAAACAAAATCAAATTATTTTCTTTCACAAAATGTATCCCAGTTTTTATTATTGATTGGTCTCATCACAGTTATTATGACATACATAAAATTGAAACTATCTGTGCCTTAGCAGTGCGAAGAATTGTTGAGATATTTGTAATCGCATTTTTATTGGTTAAAAGGAATAAAAGGAATCTGAAATTTAATTCTATTTTATTTCTTTATGTTATTTTTGAGTGGTTGTTTTCTGTGTCTTGTTTGTGATTCGTTAAACCATGATCTGCTGTAAAGTTATACATATAACCTCTGTAAACTTTTTCTTCTTTTGTGTGTGTTTCTTCTTTTTGTTGTGTAATAAATGTTTGTTTTTCTAACCACAGCGTTTTAAATGTTCAACAGCAGAATGTGGTTCGTCAAAAGTTAGAATGCACTGATCTTTTTCATCATTGAACCTTCTATGCCAGTGTCATATTTTATCGTTCGCATGATTTTGATTTTTTTTTTTTTTTTTTTTTTTTTTTTTTTTTTTTTTTTTGTGGATGATGGCTTTTTCAAGTGAAAGTGAAATAGAAATTTTTGGTGTTGAAACATTTGATGGCATTAATAACTTTACTGTTTGGTGTTGAAGGGCTTAAGCAGTATTTATTGCAAAGGAATTGAATACATTTTTAGAAACAGAAGCAAGTGCCGACAGAACTACAGATGTTTTGAAATAAAAAAAAGAGTTATGCCTTAATTCTTGCACTTTTAAGTGATAATATGCTTGCTTCTCTTCAAAGTGAAGACACAACATATAAAATTCGGAAGAAACTGCAAGCTACATATAGTGCTAAAGGAGCAGTGAGCCAAATTTTAACACGTAAAACATTTAGCTACCATAAGAAAATCTAAAGGTGTGTTATTGAGACAACATATCGACAATATAATGAACTTGGTTAGTAATCTATGCGTCTCTGGATCTGAAGTAAGTGACTTTGATGTTATGATTTACATTTTAATGTCATTGACAAAGGAATATGAAAATGTTAAGGCATCACTAGAAAACGAACCAAGTAATAATTTGAGTTTGGATTTTGTTACAAAGAGACTTATGGACTGAATCTCTTATGTTCGATTACAAAAGTGAAAGTAAGTATTTTAAACCAAATATGGACAACTCTGTTTTTATTAGTGCTCGTAAAGAACTGTTTTGTATTTATTGTAAAAGAAAAGAATATTCTGTTAAATTCTGTTGAAAAAAGAACTGTGTCTGTCATAGCTGTGGGAAAACTGGCCATTTCAAAAGTGAATGTTTTGATAATCCTCAAAAGCAGGCAAATTCAAATAGTAATAAAATGTATGCATCACCTGCAAAATCTTTTATGGCTGGAAATCTTGTGCATGATCAATTTATTATTGATTCTGGTGCAACTTCTCACATGTCCTATCACAAAGAATGGCTTACCTCAATTAAGCCTAAGACTGGAACTGTTAAATGCGCGTCTAAATCAGCAGTTTTAGAAGTGGAAGACATTGGTGATATTTGCGGTAAAACTAAGAATGGTGTTGAAATAATATTAAAAGATGTTCTTTACATTCCGAAATTAAACGGACAATTAATTTCTGTCAAAAATATTGAAGTAGCAGGTTTGAGCATAATTTTTGAAAATGAAATAGTTTACACTGAAAGCCAACAAAAAAAAAAAAAAAAAAAAAAAAAAAAAAAAATGTTTAAGATTTGGATATTTGGCCTAATGCGGACAATATTTTAGTGATTTTTCACCAAATTTATATACAGCTTTAGCAGTAAAGAATGATAATTTATGGCACAGAAGATTAGGACACTGTTGTAATCAAAAATTAAAACTAATGAATCTTCATGCAAAAGAAACATTTTGTGAAGTATGCATTCGTGCTAAACAAAGTGCATTGCCTATAGGAAAGGGTCCCTGTAGAAAAGAAACAAAACCGTTTATAACTATACACACTGATATATGTGGTCCAAAAAAACCTCAAACATTCCATAGGGAAAAGTATTTCATGACTATAATTGATGACTGCTCGCGATTTATGGAAATAAGACAAAAGTGTGACACAAAAGAAAAAAAGGTGACATTGTTGATAAACTTAAACTATTCTTTAAATTGAATCCAACTGTCACAAAACTGCACTGTGACAATGCCAAAGAATATAGCAGTGGAGAACTTTATGAAGTAAAAAAGCAGGTGTAAAAATAGATCCTGCACCTCCCTATATACCTTTTCTAAATGGTGTTGCTGAAAGAGCAAATAGAACTGTACTAGAAAAAGCTAGAGCAATGATACTTGAGGCAAACTTACCAAAATTCCTTTGGGGTGAAGCAGTACCTACGGCTGCTTATATAAATAATCAACTCACAAATAGTTCAATTGACAATCGTGTTCCTGATTTTCTGAAATACGGTGAAAATCCTGATTTGACAAACATGCATGTATTTGGCTGTGATGCTTATACTCTTGTGCCACCATCCCAAAAAAAAGAAACCAGATGAAAAATCTGTCAGAATGATATTTGTAGGTTATTCCACAATGGGATATCATTTAATGATTCCAGAAAAAAGATGCATCATAGTTCCCAGAAATGTTAAATTTAATGAAGAAAGTAGAAAATCAAAATGCATTTCCGATAGTTCTGATTCGAATGAAAATGCCAATGATGACATTAAAAATGAAGACAAATTAATTTCAAATGCTGATAATGGCGAATAAAATGCTGCAAATGAGAAGGAGGAAAAGAAAACCTTCAACAGAAAAGACACAACCAGTTAGGTATTCTAATCTTGAGACTTACCAAGTGATATTTGCACAACAAGACACTCTGACAGTTGATGGTATTCTAAATCTACCAAAAGAACAAGAACTATCAAAAAGAGCAATAAAGGAAGAAATGAAATGTATGGAAGATAGCGATGTTTGGAATCTGCAAAATTTACTCCCTGATAAAAGAGCCATTTCCTGCAAATGGGTTCTATGTAAAAAATGAGATGAAACTTATAAAACCAGGCTTGTTGCTTGTGGCTTCATGCAAAAAGAAGGCATAGATTATACAGACACATTTCTCCAGTAATTAGTATGTGCTCTTTACATTTAATCCTGGTAATCATCAATAATGAAGGTCTATAACTTTTACTTTAGATGTCAAGATAGCTTTCTTGAATGGTACATTAGATGAAACCATCTACATGGACCAGCTCAAAGGATATGATAATATGATATTTCTTTTAAGAAATGTAAACTTAAAAAGAGTTTAAATGGTCTTAAACAGTCTTCCCGACAATGGTATCAGAAATTTCTTAATTTTGTTATTAAATTAGATTTTAAGCAATTGGACACTGAATCATGTATTTTCATCAGAAATCTAAATTGTAAGAAAGTAATTATGGCTCTTTATGTGGATGACTTATTAATTACACGTTCGGATGTAAAAGAAACAAGTATTATAATATCATTGCTATCAAATGAATTTCAAATGTCAAAATCTGAAAGGGTCTCAGAATTTATACGCATTAAACTGAAGTTAGTCTGAGTTAAATTGAGTCCAGTTGTTTATATTTAGATCAGAAACCATATATTGAAAAATTACTTGATAAATTTAAAATGTCTTATTGTAAAAGTGTCCAAACTCCCATTGAACCAAAATCTACAGCAGCTGATTTTCAGAAAGGAAATCCTTTTTATGGCCCATACAAAGAATTAATTGGATTTTTACTTTACTTAGCATATACTACAAGGGCAGATATTTTATTTGCAGTAAACTGCTTAAGCCAACTGCAGGAGCATCTTACTGATGCTGCCTGGTGTGCTCTAAAGAAAATTCCTAGGTTCTTGAAAAACACCTTAAATTTAAAATTGATATAAAAAAAAGGAAAGTACTGGAAACTTCGATTTGGAAAAGAGAAACTTATGTTTGTATGTAGATGCAGATTGGGGGGGGGGAGATACTCAAGATAAGAAATCAATTACTGGTTACTTCATAATGTTTTCAAACTCTCCTATTATGTGATGCTGTAACAAGCAAAAACGCAAAAGTGTATTGCACTTTCATCAGCAGAAGCTGAAACAGTTTGCTTTATGCAAAGGTATTTAAGATGTTTTACAGATAAAAAATATAGTAAATTAAATTTCCAGTGTTAAAAATGTTTATATTTTTGAAGATAACCAGTCATTGTTAATGCAAACTTTTCAGGTATGTTGAAACATGTAGATATAAAATTACACTCGTAAGACTGTTAAAGAAAATAATATTAAAATTGAAAATGTACAATCAAGTTTACAAATTGCAGATATGCTAACCAAGGCTCTGCCCAAAACAAAATTCTATGAAAATAAATTGTCATTGAGCTGTTTAAAAATTGTATAATTCTATAATGTGCGATTAAGGGGGAGTGTTGAGATATTTATTATTGCTTTTTTATTTGTTAAAAGGAATTATAGCTTTCTGTCACATCTGATGCATTCTGAAACTTAATCCTATTTTATTTGTTTATATTTCTTTATGTTATTTTTGATTGTTTGTTTTCTGTGTCTTGTTTGTGATTCGTTAAACCATGATCTGCTGAAAAGTTATATATATAACCTCTGTAAACCTTTTTGCTTGTGTGTGTACTTCTTCTTTTGCTCTGTAATAAATGTTTGCTTTTCGAACCACAGCATTTTAATTGTTCAACAAGAATAAAACTTAAAAATGGAAGATCAATACAATACAATTTTTAAAAATGTAAAATTTCATTGATGGAAGAGAGTTCAGACAAAATATTTACTTTTCATAAAAGTATACAATTTATTTGAATAGTTTTAATTGATGACATTTGGCAGGTGACAATATAACCAAAATGGTTACAAATTGACAACATTAAAATTCTTAGAAACATAACAAATAAAACATATTTTAAAGAACATAAATAAATATAAAATTGTTTCAATACTGGGCATAAAACAACGACAACAAAAAGAATCTTACTTAAAAACATAATGGCTTCATCAAAAACAATCAGGCATTAAAATTTTCTTCACATTCTTGCAATATATTTAATTACTTATTCAGCCACATTAATCAGAACTATCTTGAATATTATTATTAGAGCACATGGCATCCATTTCATATAAAACCTCTAATAAAGTAGCATGACTCCAAGCTTGCACAACACAGCTGTCCTTACAGAAAGCACCATCTTTATTTGTAAGTTCTGGAAGACCTCTCCATTTAGATTTTTGTATCTCATGAAAGTGGCAAGACATAACACGTTTAGTGAAATCTACTGCTTTACCAAACTCTTCTTTACCACCAACCATCATTGAAAACATCAACTTTGCCCGCAAGAAGTATCCAGTTGGCCATAACCATTCCTACAGACAATAATTAACAAATAAAATTGCATAATTTCATAAAAACATACTGTAAATTATTTGAAAATGCGGATATTTCTGTATAAACTTGGTCAATTGATATTTGAAAATAACAATCAGATTGTCAAGCAATGCTCAGAAATTCAAAACTAAATGTATTAAAATGTATGCGATATCTCCGAAATGCTTTTCAATCTTGTCTTGCAGTCATTTTCTGCAAAATTACCAATGTTTGGGTTGAAGCACCATAAATTTAGTTCCCCGAGATACATCATATATAATTAACAAAAGCTTGATACAGATCTAGTACAATTCCGATAATTTGCATACGAAAGAACGTGTAGATTAGAAAATTATGCAGGTTATAATCTGAATTTATTTAATCACAGTTTAATGAATACAAAACTGTTAAATTTTTTAGTATAAACAGAGAGAATAATGTGAGTACAGTGGAAAAATGTAGTGGGGAAAAAAGGGCATACATAATAGGGAAATTTCTTGTAGTAGTACAGACTCTTTTATAAAAAAAATGTAGAAAAGTGCTTAAATATTTTTCAAAAAATGTATACCCACCCAACATTGATATTACTTTCAAAATATTTTTACAATTTTAAATGAGAGAAAAATACTTAGACAAAAAAGTACATTGTTGATACAAGTTCCAGTAGTATTTTTATTTAATTGAATCCCTATATAAATTCTATCGTTATGCATGCGTGACAACACTGGTAGAAACTTACAGTAAAATGCTAATATTAAAATTTATATTTATTAAAAGAAACATTTCTCTGCTCTTTAGTTGTTTGTTACCATGTTTTCCATTTTTAACACAAAATTTTCTAAAAGTGCGATTTTTAATAAATTGCCCTTATTTACTGCCAATGTAAATAAGTTTACTCTCAGAGTGGAGTATAAATAAACAAAATATGTTGTGCATTTAAAGAGCTCAATAGCTGAGATGATGTAGATAAATAAATCTTTTATATATGTTGAATAATTAATCTTAAAATACCACAGAATATCCCCCGAAAAGTAATTTTATTAAGAAGAAAAATTTGCAAAGATTCACTGTTTACATGAGATAAAGGAAGAGTGCTGGCACATGCATAGAAAATCTAAATAACATCAATAATTAAAAAAAAAAAGAAAGAAAGAAAGAAAGAAAATTATGAAAAAGTTCCTGTATCCAAAGTATGTTGTAATATTTTTCTAGAGAAAAGGAATATTTGCATATTTGTATGGAAAAATTAAATGGTTAAATTATCTAAAAATTGAAATTTTTTTGTTTTCTACCCAAAATCAGCATAAATCGCAGGCATTTACAGATAAATCGGCCATAGAGTATCGAAATTCTACTTATTAAAATTTGCCTAGCTTTACAAAATTTGATTTAAGCTTTAAATTTTAGAAAATGGGGAGAATAATGATGGTCATTTTATAGTTACTTTTATAGATATAAATTTACTGATTAATAAATTTCAAAATTCAAGCTCATATTGGCATTAATTTTAATGGAAAAGGGGTATAATGCATTTTGTAAGAAACTAGATAAAACAATTACAGCAAATTTTGCTAATGATTTATACATCAAACTATATTTTTATTGATATAATGTTAACAAAAGTTTTGCAGTTTCTAAAAATTTGATTCAAATCTCTCAGGCTTATTATACAATTTATTACTTTTAAAGTTTCAAATTGGTTAAGCTTTATTACAATGAAAACAAACTTTAAGATAAAAAGAAAAGGAGTTTTTAACTTACTTGACACCCAGAATGCACTGTACTTTTATTTATGATAAAACAATACAATATATTATAACTTCTATTACGCAAAAAAGTACAGTGTTGTTATTGCTCACTTTGAGATCATTGAGTTTCTTAATCAAAAACTCATAAATGCTTTACAAAATATGAAACAGATAATAAAACAGATTCCAAATTTGGGCTTCCAGATGCCCATATTCGTGTGAAGAAATATGTTTTTCAAAATTTAATGGTCCTAGTTACCATTGTTTTATCACAATGCAAGAAAAATATATACTTTTAAGCAGATTCTTCATTACTTAGGCGGCAACAATTTGAAAAATGAAATGCCACAAAATGCCAAAATGAAAGTAATAGCCCTTCTGAGCTAACACCCTTTGAGCTAAAAACTAAGAAGAAAAACTATATTCAAATAATTTTCACTGTATTCAATAAACAAAAAAGTACATACTGGTCCCTGATGGTAATTCCATCCTCTAGCTCTCTTTTGATTTATTGAATCATCACTGTTATCATAACATCCATCATATGCCCAGTCACTAAGCAAAAAATGAAAGATATGGTTAAAATGAAACATTATTTTTTTATGCTCAACATAAAAAAGGGTGCAAAATTTTTGTATATTATTCATCATAAACAGCTATCAAATATCATATTATGCTTCTCCTTTTCTTTTATCCATCCTCATCATCCTACACATGACAATCTGATACCGGTTCATACTGATATCGATTTTGTAACAAAATGATATAGGTTTTACTGAAATTTTATTTACTTGCATAGATCTTAATTTATCACTAAAAGCACTTTTTTATAAAGACTGTCCATGGTCTTAGACTATGGTTTTTATTACAAGGTGATTCCTTCTTCTGCTACCATTATTTTTCAATCTCATTCTGGGCTTTAGCATTTCAGAAATTATTTAATTGCTATGGAAAACCTTATTTTAACCCTTTCAAGATGGATTTTTATTTATTTATTTATTTATTTATTATTATTCTTTTTTGGTGTGGACTCCAATTTAATATATTGCTTTATATTTTTACAGTAGAAGCCTTTTTAAGATGTTTATAATTTTTTTCAGATTTTTAAAACCTTTTTATTTTGCACGTAAATCTGGGACGATTGTGCCAACTAGTAAAAACTAAATCCGCGTTAGGACGCATTGTCACATTAGTTTCAAAAGGGTTAGACAACAGCTTTGCTTTTTCCTTTTTGCATGCTTAATCATGTCTATTATGTAATGCCATCAACAGATGGTGGAAGCAACTTTCTACAAGATGTAAGATATTGGAACAGCTAATCTTGATCACTTAGATCGGAATAAACTGATAAATAGAGAACATCAACAAAACTCAAATTATTATTTTTTTTCTTTCTTTAAGTATGCTTAGTTTACTATATTCAATAAAGACTGCTGTTAAACAAGGAACCAAATGGCTTCTGAGTCTGCAAATCCCCTCATTTTGTGTGCATACATTCAAGCATTGGATTAATTCTTCAAATTTATATGTAGCTCAGACAATAAAAAGACTAGAATAAGATACAAAGAAGGACAATTCCTTTAAGATTTAACCTGAGTAGCCAACTAAAATTTGCTCTTTAAGAATAAAACTTAAAAAATAAAACTTACGATGGATCCAGAGTTCTCATGCCAAGAGGTCCCAGAAGATGTTTTTCAGCATTATCTAATGCAATCCATGCATTTTGCGATGTGAATAACTCAGGTGCCTGAATGAAAAATTCTGAATTTACAACAACGGAAAATAAGCATAAAGATTCTCTTTAAAATAGTACACGCATATTCATAATTTCCAAATGATCAAATATGATAACAAAACAAAAGGAATAATGATATTACTCTTTTTAATAATAATGGTTATCATTAATAACAAGAACACTAAAGTTTGACATACAAAAACATAACTTCATCATTATGCATTTTGGTTTCAATATTTGTGAATCTAAATTTTAATCAAATTTCTTTTAATAAAACCAATTTTTATTTAAACCAAATTATAATAAAGCATTGCTGTAAGACAAAACTAACATTCTATTATGTTTTTCACTTAAACAAGTAAGATAAGTTTATTAGCTTTTGATCTGATTTAGCCTATCTTTTAAAGCTAACATTTCATCAATAAATAATTCAGAAAATATTTTAACATGGAAAGGAACTATTTCTACCTAACCTGACATTCCCCCAAATAAAAAATTTATTTAAAAATTATGAATAACTTTTTCTATTAAATTTTGTCTCCTTACAATAAGGAGTTTTTAAAGGTTAAGTTCTTAGGTTCACCTTACATCAAGTCAAATTTAGCAAAATCTGTGAATTCAGAACTTTTATGATAGTTTTATCAATATTAAGTAACAGGAATTTCTAAATTCAAAGACATTTAACTTTCAGTTCTAAATCACAAAAGCAAATTACTTAATTCTTCTCTACATTCAACAAGCTTTACTTTGCCTTTTTAAAAAATTAATGAATTTGGTTAAAGAAGGAATACTTATTAGTTGATTTAAAGCAGTGGCTTTCTTTTCATTCACTACAGCTTTAATTTTTTTAAGAATATGTTATGATATACATATTTCTCACAGAATGCTGATAGGGAAATTGTCCACTATTTTTACCTTTCTAGTGTTATCAACATAAAAGCATCAGAGTATGACTTGAAAATAGTACTATTTTAGCAAATTTCTTATATATATATATATGAGGAACCCTACCTAGATATGCATTTAATAAAATATGTCATTTAAAATCATGCCATTTATATGCCCCATAAATAATATTCCTAGATATCTAATATATCATTAACTTACCACACACATTGCTACAGGAAAATTGGGCCTAAGCTGGAAATCAGCCCAAGCCTGTGAAGCATTGACAGAATCCTTATAAATTCCTCTTTTATTAATGAATTTAGAATCTCCTGGTTGAGGTTCTGGGCTAACAAAGAAATGCTTCTCAAAATTTTTTTGAATCAATTCATCCCATTCCTTGAATGTCATTATAACTGTTTTTGCAACCCCAGATGAGTCAGCTGAAATAAAATGCAGCTAATATAAATGCCAGCAGAGCTTCCACAATAACATCTGTACAATATACGCTTAAAATTTTGATATGAAGATGCACTTTATTTGGATCTGTGTAAATAAGTAATTTTTATATAAAATATTTATTAAAACAAAGCAAAAATAGAGATACTTCCTTATTAATATAGTTCCCATTATTTAACTTTTTAAAGTCAACTATTCTATTAGAAAATTATTTCCTTTAAAGCCATCTATGGTACAAATGTAGTACCAGCACTTTCTTCCACATTTTACAGTAACGACCTGTCTTTTATTAGCTTAGTTCCAAAATAGATATCTGGATGGTCCACTTTCACTGTTTAAAGAGTAGCCATTCGCTATGCTTGTTTTCTGTTCCTGTCACACTTTGGCTACAATTTGGGTGAAGACTTCCGGTTCTATTTCATCCCTACATTCTTGAAAATCAAACAGATGCTATTTCACTCTCAAACATTATAACACTGCTACATGATTTCAGGATGTTAACTTTCCTAACTTTTCTTCCTTGTACTCTTATTCTTATAATGGCACCTCACTTCGAAGGTCTCAGTCAGGATGAAATTACTAAGTTGCTGAGAGATTTAAAAGAGGGAAATTTCACTCATACAGATTTGGACAGTTCAGATGCAAAAGAAGTATGTCTTAAGCTATCTTATGGTGAAGATAATGGTGCTCATAAAAACAACTTTAATCATTTATTTGAATGGAGACAGCCAAATGAGCAAGACATAGCTAAGATACTGATCTTTACTGGTATTCCTAGTATAATAACTGAATTTTCAGAAACTCATCAATAAATAAATCAGAAATCTATCAATCAAGAAGCCATCAATTTTTTTTTAAATTATACTTTTCAGATGAATTGTTTAAAATCGGCCATAGAAATTAATCAATATGCTTCTCAAATCCTAGAGCAGCAGCCAGATACATTTAGAAAAAGAAAGCATAAAAGTGACTGGACACCAGTTACCTCTGAAGAGCACCAGATTTTTTTTTGAATTAGTCCTACTCAGGGTACATACAGAAAAAGGTATCATTCAGAATTATTGGTCAACAGATGATTTAAATTGGCACACCAATTTTCCAGAAAGTAATGTCAGAAGACAGATTTTAATGATTCTAAAATATCTGCATTTCAAAAACAATAAAAAATTGATAAAGTTATGAATTATAACACACTGCAAAAAACTGAAGAAGTTTACCTTATATGTATAAACAAATTACAGTCCTGTAGAGGAACTCGTGATAAATAAAATTATCACTAAATTTAAAGAGCCTGTAATATTTAGACAGTATATCCCAAAGAAACACAAGCAGTAGGGTATAAAGGCATATTAGATTGCTGATAAGGGATTTTACCTTGGGAAAGATAAATCCAAGGATCCCAACTTTTCAGTGTCATATAATGTTGTGAAAGAAAGAATGGCACTATTAAAAATAAGGGCCATAAATTATTTATGGACAATTTCTTTTTGTCATCAGAACTTTTCATTTATTTAGTAAAGGAAAATAAAACACATGCACGTGGAACTATCTGTCCGAATAGGAAGCATTTCGCAAAAGATATAAGCAAAGAAACACTGAATACAGGAGAAACAACTGCGTGTTTCACAAAGTGAATGACATCTCTGCACTGGAAAGATAAGTGTCATGTTTTCATATTGTCTAATATGCATAATCCACTCTTTATAGCAATGAACAGTCAAAATACAAGACTGTAGCAAGTTACGATGAAAATATATGCTATGTGGATTTAAGTGATTGCACGGACAATAGATATATATATAGCTATACTTTTGATAAAAGAACTTTGAAGTGTATGTAAATCAGTTCTATCACAGCCCTCCACAAAAGCAACACTTTCTTCAGCAAATAGCCCTATTGTACTTAATCAAATAATCCAACTGATATTTAAGCTTCTTCCCTCAAGCTAGTAAATATTGTATTTAGTTGCATAATGACAGCCAGCTGCTATATAATTAAGACCATTGACAATTAGGTAACAAGTAGTTAAGACCTAGATTCCAATAATAGCGCATGATCAGGCTTCACAGGCCTTTTCCCCTATGTGTTAAGTGATTATAAATTGATTCCAAAAGTTCTTGATGAAGGTTAAAGTTACATTAATTAATTAAAACAAAGTAATCTGAGGGATAGCTATCTATGGGAAGGCCTGGATCTTAGCCTAGGTCAAACTACCAGTGTTCAGCAATCTTATCGCTCTCCCACTTGTAAGACCCTTCATGAAGGGACACAGACATTCAAATAAAGCTTGTACTTTTTTTTTTTTTCTGTGATGCAAGTAAAACTGCATGTTCAGCTATGGCTTTTGTTTGGAATGAAACTAAAAATTCTGTTCATGTTTACTTTTTAAAATTGACAATAATTCCGTGTGGAAAGCGAGAGACTACAATAACACAAAACTACTTGGATGTGCAATTTCAGCATGTCTTGTTACAAATATTTGAAAGAATTCACACCTCATTAAGTTTTTCTAGACTGATTCATTTACTGTACTACCATGAATACAGCACAATCAAGTATAGGATGTATTTGTTTACAACAAAGCACAAGAAATTAGACAGTTATCTCCAAAAACATTTTGGAGACATATTCCAAGAATATCAAATCCAGCCAATTTATGCAGCAGAGGCTCCTCTGCTCAATCTTAAATTGAATCAAAATGTTTGGAGGGACCCCAGTGGCTTTATTTAACATCAGAAGAGTAGCTAAAGAATGATTTCACAAGCATTACAAGAAATTTTCAAAGAAAAGAAAAGGAAGATAGATTCATCTATAATTAATGTCAATTCCTATGATTTTTTAAGTAACCACCTTTAAAAGATGTTAATGATTATTAAAAGATGATTACTTAAAACAATATACTTACAGAAAAGTTACTTGGGTGATGGCTTGGATTTACCGATTTGCACTGTCATTAAACTAAATGATGCAGAATTTTATTATTGTGTTATTCTGGAAAGCAGGTGTCTCAGAATCTGGTCGACACTTCTATATTTTATTATTGTTACAATTAGTTATTTTTCCCCTGTTCCCAAAAATTGTAGACATAAGTTCTTGTTTAAAAGTCCAAAGCAAAATTTTTTAAGCATGCATACATATAGAATGGAACATTTTAATAACATTTCCAAATATGATAAATTATACCAAATTTGATTGCCCCTCTCCTGCATATCACATTCTTAAATACTATGATGAATAGCCAAGAAATTGTAAATCACAATTCCGAAAACACATAACATAACACTGCTAAAATTCGGTTAACAATGCAAGACAACAGACTCTGCACAACTATAAGTGGAAGAACACACTTACTGAATTTTTTTAAATAAAAATCTACCTTTTTGTTGCAAAATGCGATATAAAATGGAAATACTTTCCTCTAAACTTACACACTAATTTCACGTAGTTTGAAGACCTACTAAAGTTCATTATTTCAAATATTTTTCAGTAAAAATTATATCATTATAATTTTTAACTTTCATCAATAAAGTTAAAATAAAGACTATGTTGATGTTGTGTGCACAAGAGAAGCAGAACCACCTGTTATTTTTACTGATTACTGTGGAGAAGTTTATCTAAGAAGGATCTAATTTACAAATGAAAAACATATTAAAACTAGAAACATGGAACAAAATAAATACAGATTTAATCTCTCTTTTATTTAAGTAAGTGAAATTCATACCTGGTGTACAATGTTCCACCATACAATAAGGATAATGACCTTTATGAAACATAGCATTTAACCACCGCACTGCAGATTTGCAAAGGCCAACAATTTCAATTGCAGAACCATCTCTGTAAACAATCAACTAATAGAAAATAGAGTACTGATACTTTATGACAAAAAGCATTTTCTTTATACAATGTAATTTTAAAATGATCCTTTAATAAATATATGCTTAATTTTTATATACTTTCAAGAAATGTCACAAATTTTGATAAAAAAAATAATAATTTTTTTAGATGACATCACTTTTATTGCTCCAAAAAGATAACTTTGCTTAGCATTGTTCCTTAGCTATCAGTATTACGATTTATTCAAATTTCCATTAATTTTTTAGCCTAGAATATTACTAGTGTGGGAATGAATATATTAATAGGTTGACCTCGTATTTAATACAAATAAGTGATTTTATATGTAAAATATCCCTATACCATCACATCCGCTGAAAGAACTAAAGCCTAAATAATGTGACTGAACACCAGCATAGAAAGAAATAGTAAACCACAAACAACCTTTAAAGAATGAAATATTTACTCTGATATTATTATTAATAATTATATTGTTTCCTTTATAACACTCTGCAAATATGCAAAACAAACATTTCCCTCTCATTTTAGATAAATATTACTTGCACTTTCCATCAAATTAAGCCTTTAAATGTTACATATCATTTAATTTTTCAAATATACAAAACACATTAAGATCCAGTTAATGCAATAAAGAACACTTCTAAGCAGATTTCCAAAACAAAAATACTTAAAACACAATAATCTGAAAAGAACTTATATACATGCAATAAAAAGTATTAAATTTTAATTTTTATGTTTTAAATTGTTTGAAGTAGCATCTTCAAGCAATAACTTAGAATTACAATAAATCTCTAACATAAGTCTACAAACTGGAACTATTAAAATTTTGAAAATAATCACATCACACATAAATCTACAATGCTATAATGACAAGAAAATTTAATGAACTCATGTGATGAACATTTTCTTAATATCAATAAAACTATTTAACATATCAAATTAGTAAAGATCTAGCAAAGAGCTTTAAAGCTAGCTCTAATTCTAGTTCTAGGATGAAAAGGTTACCTCATAAAGCTAATTGTAGTTTTAGCATCAAAATTAAAAAAATAAACACAATAAATTTTATTTTACTTTCCTGTCCCATATTTATACCAAGACAACATTTTTTTTTTTTTTTTTTTTTTCGATAACGTAAGTTCTTTCATGGATAAGAAAGCTTTGTCCAGTCATACTCAAAAAGAGATTTTAAAATTAACAGTAATAAAATTAACTGGAAAAAAATACAGTTTCCTGTGTTTATTAAAAACTAGGTGGTTTCAAAGATTTATTAATAGTAATTTATTAGTAGTAAAATTTATTACTATATATTACAGTTCTGAAATATTATAACCAGTAGGTTTTTTTATATTTAGCATTTACATATAGATACTGAAAAATGTTCTTCAATGCATGTACTAACATTAAATATTAAATTGGCTTTAATGAGGTAACTTTGATATTTCTAGTCCAAAACATTTGTCTTCTAGACTATTTCATTCATGAAATGTTATATATTTAAGCCACTATAAACTACAATAACCTGTAAATAATCTATAATTAGAAATGTTTAAAAGTAATATTTTAAGAATTAAGCATTAGTTTAAACTTTTATAAACATTTTATGCAGACTGCAATTGACAAAATATTTCTCAAATGCTTTGTATTGTACCTTGCACCTTATAAAAATATTAGTCACCCCCCCCCCCAGCTGATGATATAAACTGTCAATTATGTGTTCACAAAGATTTGAACTACTATTTTCCAGCTGTTAGCTGAATGTGCTACCACTTTTCATATATATTTCTCTACTTAAAGGGTAACTGAAGAAAGATACAAAACACAGTGGAACGAATACAATTGGAGAAAAATCATCATTTGCTTTACTTTAATTCAGGCACCATAGGGACATTAGATTATTTGGAGCAGAAAACACGAATGGCCTTACCCAGATTTAAATGAGGGATCTTTCGAGTGCTAATTGGAAGATCCTGCTGTTGATCTTCCAACTGCCAGTTAGAAGATCAACTGCTAGTTGGAAGTGTAACAATTCACACCACTAGAGCATACATCAGAGAAAGCAATAATTTCTCATAAGCTAAACAATTTAATTTTAGAAAATAGGAGCACATTAAGATTTGAAAATTTAAAAAGCTGCATTTTACTCAGAATATATGAATATTTTAAAATTTTATTGCAATTTTAAAATATAAATTATTTATTTAATTATTTCACTTAAAAAATTCATTATAAATTAAGATAATTAATTCCATATATTAATTATACTAAGAAGATTAATATTTATGTCACATTATTTTTCTGGTCTACAACTAAAAAAATATCTTATACTTTTTGTACTGAAATTTGATTTAAAACACTATATTATATAATTAGAATTCTGCAAAGTCATACTCCTTTCAGATCATTCATGGTCTTACTTTTAAAATAGGTATTATTAATGATCATTAAGTTTTTAAATGAGGCAGTGAAAAAAATCTCACGAAGGAAAATGTTCTCTATACTATTTTTAAATGGATAATGAATTGCTAATTACTATCAAGTTGCATACATAAAAGTAAGATAAAAACTTACCTGGGAGTAGCAGGTTTGCCTTTGTTACCAGCTTTTTCAGAACTACCCATTTTGTCCATCCATGTACCACAATTAAAGCTATTACCACCAAAAACAAATCCTGTTTCAAGATCAACTCCAATTTCATTGTTGAATCCTACAAGGTAAAAAATTATAAGACAAGGGCAACTGAAATTTTATACTGAAGAATTTTTTTTTTTTTTTTTTTTTTTTTTAAGTAAACTTTACCAGGATCTGTCATTTGAGTATCCAGTTGGTATCCAGCATTGCGTTCACGAAATTTTAGGCCTTGAAAATGTGTTTGCATGGCTTCTTGAATAACATCATAAAGTGGTTGATCCTATGTAAAAAATAAAAAATTAAATTCAAATCTACAAATTTCCGATTATAATGCAATAAACTGAAGAGTTTGCCATTAAAATCTCAGAAAGTTAACAGAATGTTCAAAAATACTAATAAAATGAAAATTATAAGATTTTTTAAAAATGTACTTTTATCTGCATTTGTTAATTACAGTTAAATCCCGAAAACAATTTTAAGCTATACAGTTGTGATTAACCTACCAGTTTAAGAACTTATCTCTGATGAAATTAAGACATAGAACATAAAATAATGCATTAAATTGTTTAAAATCATATATTAATAACAACTTTAAAATAATTATTTAAAACTATTAAAAATTGTGAAAATTAGCAATGTTAAATGGTTAGGGAAAAAAACTTGGTATGACATTTATTCACTGTAAATTATCACAGTGTTGACACTTATTTAATATAGAAAAGATTTATTCAAGACACAGCTGTGTATCTTTTTATTAGATTACTTGCACATGAAGCTTGCAGCCAACATTTTCTTGAAGTCACAATATGTTTCATTTTATCAGAAATCTGTTTACTGAAAACACTGAACACTTAGGGAGAAGTTTTCTTTAAGAATAAAATAAGAATTTTATTCTTTAATAATTAATAATAATAATAATAATAATACTTTTTGAAAAATTGGCTCTTACAGTAAAACTCAAAATATGAATTTTATTGATTAAAAATTATAATTCCCATTCATAACATTGATTCATAACATTTATTGACTACTCACATGTAAATACATAGTAATTAAACATCTTTCCTAATATATAAATGTGCTTGCTTTTTGAACAAATCATATTTTGATAAAACATACCTTCAAAATTTTCATTTATAACCAGAACTTAACAGTTTGATATGCAATACACACACTTTGATAGACTTCTTCACAAAAACTACAAAAATTTAATAGTATATAATAGTTTGCTATTTTATTCCATTTTTGTATGTGTTACTTAAATTTATCAGTGGCCAAGACACATCTGCTATTAAAAAAAATACTGACTTGTATGTATCATATACAGTAGAGTCCTGCAAGCTCGACATAATGTGGACTGAGAGAAGTTTACAAAAAATCCTGTTTTGCAGAATAAGGGTTCGGTTTTTCAGAAGTCTTAATGTTTACCGGAAATTACTCTAGACATTTGTACACAATATTGGACATGGAAAAGTAGAGCATACAATTAAATTAATATTGACTTTTTTATGTCAAGTTCTAACACAACAGGAGTCGTAAAAAGAACAAATATCCTACAATAATTGAGTAAAAAACTTGCATACAAAAATGCAGAAAAATTATTATTAGTTCTTGGTAGAAAAATATCGTGTGATGGTAGACTGTCTCTCACACTCATTCCATCATCTTGCAGCTTCATCCCATAGGTGACAAAGGAACAAAATTTCCAAACCAGATGCATTTTACTCCTCCATGTAATGGAGCATTCCTTCAGCTAGTGGTCCTTCAGTATGGGTCATTATTTTAGCTTTTCTGTTGTCTTCCATCTCTTAGTTTTCAGATTCATCTTCATTTTTATCCACATTGTCTTTCACCAGTGCAACTATTTCTGCATGTCCTAAAATTTCATAATTTTCATCTTGACCGCATTCTTAAACATCACCATCAGTAACTTCTTCACAGCCTGGAATTTTCTTAAGTAAGTAAATTATTTCACATTTTTCTGTCTCTTCTTTACTTTCGTGAAATTTGTTTCCTGAATGATCCAGCTACTTTCTCCAGGAACAAATGAGGCTTATCTGCTTGATTTCACTCCAAGAATGAGCTATCCATCCAACATATCTATTCTCTTCAGTTTCTTGATCATATCACACCCTTCCTCCATGGCTAGGACAAGACCTGCAAAAAGTTTACATCTGTATTTTTTTTTTTCAGTGCCTCCAAAATGCTCTGTCCCATCGGTTGATACAATGAAGTTACGTTAGTAGGGAGAAACATGCCTCATATATCTTCGTTTCATAACTGTTCTGCATCAGGATCGGATGAGGCATTGTCTAGAATGGAGAATCCCTTTCCTTGATAGTTTTTGTTTTATTTTAAAAACTTTTCCTTCGGTGGAATGAACTGCTGATGAAACCAATCTTTAAATATTGCTCCATTCTTCCATGTGTTTGAATAATTCCGGAACCAAACAGGAAGATCATAGTTGGTTTTGGTATAATTAGTGTACTTTTTTAAGTTTTTAAATGCCCGGGGATTTTTTTATTTGCCTACAAGCAACAGTTTGAGCTTATGGCTGCCTGCTGCATTGCAATATTATGACTCTCTCCTTGCTTCTTTTGTAGTCAGGTGCCGATTTTTCTTCCCTGGATGCGAGCGTTCTCAAAGATAGCATTCAAAATTCTGACCGGTTTCATCACAATTATAAATTTGATCTACTTATATAACCTCCTTTTTAATTAATTTGTGGAAATTATTCTTGAATATTGAAACTCTTCTTGAAATTCCTCATAAAATTTTATTCTCTTGTAAAATTGGTCCTGAAATGGGTGTTCCCTGTTCCCTTTGCTGCCTGGACCACAAATAAAATGCTTTGTTCACTTTTTTTTTTTTTTTTTTTTTTGTATTCACCACTTTTCATACTTATTCTTTCCTATACATGCTCTTTTCACACACCAAGACTTGATTTCAGACTTCTTTTCCCTATCAAAGCAGTCTGTCCAAAACCTAAATCCATGGTAATTTTGTTTACACCTTCTCCTTTTTCCAGTCTCTTTAATGCATTTAGTTTCATTTCCACTGTCACGTTTGTTTATTTTATTTTTTTTAAACGACATTTTCACTGCATTGAATATAAAAAATTGCCAAAAATGTGTTAACACTTATATGCCTGGATGTTAACTGAGGAACGATACCTGCAATGAACTGGTGCGAGTTTAGTTTGCAATAACATGCAGTCACAAAACTTCAGACAAGTCTTTTAACGTTTTGCAACAACAGAAAGGAATGCAAGCTAGCAGCCAGCTGCTACCTGACTTTCTTTGTATCCTCGAAAGAAGCAAACAATATTGCCAAGTATTACAACATATCTTGAAATTTGTTAGGCAGTTCCAAGAATTAATGACACAATGTGAACAGCAAAATTTACAGAAAAAGAACACTCAAATCTTTGAACAGAACAGGAAAGACATACGCATAAATAATAATTATATGTACAGTATGTAATATTTGCTCTGTTTATCCTACAGATATCTATAAAAAGTTCCTAAAAAGTTGTCGAGTTTATACAGAATGTCGAGATATCAGGAGTCGAATTTGCGGGACTCTACTGTAAAACTAAGATTCTGAATTTTAAAATAGAGATGGAAAATTAGATTGGAATTAATGTCATTAACTAAAAGTAAATTTTTGTGAATGTATGTGAGAGTCTTTTAGAAAATGCAGTTCAACAACTAAAAAAAGTACTTTCTTTGTATCAGAAAAGAAACTGCATTGCCAAGTATTACAACATATCTTGAAATTTATTAGGCAGTTCCGTGAATTAATGGCACAAGGCAAAAACTACAGAAAAAGAACACTCAAATCAGAACAGGAAAGACATATACATAAATAATAATTATATGTATTGTAATGTAATATTTGCTCTGTTTGGCTTAGAGATATCTTTAAAAAGTTGTCGAGTTATATGGAATGTTGAAATATGGAAGTCCAGTTTGCGGGACTCTACAATATATCATACAGCTGGTAAAAAAAATTAAAAAACTGTTTGCAATAATTTTCTCCAAATAATCTAAATTTAAATAATCACAATTACAACACGAGTAGGACTCTCCAATATAAAGCATATCTTTACACTATTTATGTTTCATCTTAATGTTATCATGCAGCATGTTTACATTCATCTTACGGTTATCATTTATAAATTTAAGCATACCTTTACATGCTTCCCAACCTTTTTTTTTTTTTTTTTTTTAAGAAATCTAAAATTCTCAACAAAAAGATTTTTTAAATGATAAATATAAATTTTAAAATAATATATTTTCTTTCTATATATAAATATATATAGAAAGAAAATATATTTTGTAATAATGAAGTAACAGTAACTAATCGATATCTGAAAGTTTGGTCAATAATTCTTAAATCCAAATAGTACAAAAATACTTACATGTAAAAAGCATTTTTATTATTTGTACCTTTTAATAGAAAAATAATACTTTAATCAGTTTTTGTACAAATGCAAAAAACAGTAGCAGATTTTGCTTTTATAGGGAAAGAAATTTCATAATTTTGTACTTAGTAAATAACATGTAGGGCTGCTTTTGCTAATCAAAATTTTCTAATGTGCCATTACAAGCATTGAATCTAAATTTAGTCCCTGTTTTAGTAACAACACTAATAATCCTCTCTCACTCTGTATAACTATGGAAAATTATCAGGATGGCCAACATTATTTTAGACAGATCACTGTACTTTAAAATTCCAAAACCTTTCAGTTTTTTCAATCAAACTCTCCACTACAATCCTGCTCATCTCAATCCTTGCTGATTTTAGATCTTTATTCAGGTTTTCTAATTGTAAATTCCAAATTGTCACTGCAGTTTATCATTTATAACATCAATATCATCACCTTTCAAAACTAAATTAAATAAAACTGGAAACCTATTCAAAAACTATCGTATATCAGAAAAAGATGTATTTACTAGAATTGAAACATCTCAACTTTAGCATGTAAAGTCAGTTCATCACTGATTGGAAATTTATGAAGTATGTAATTCACATACTCAGCAAAGGTAGCTTCTAGCAAGGAAATAAAACTTATTTTTGCCTTCCTCTGGAAGTTCTTCCACTACTTTATTAGTTGCAGCCCCTATTACCAAATCTTAATCTTCCTTCTAATTTTCTATTTTATCATAAATCACATGATATACAGAATTTGAAGACAAAACAAAAGTTGTTTTAAATACTTAATAAAACGTTTTTAAACAGATCACTAATCATAGATTGCAAAACATGAATTAATGG